TCAACACTCGCCGGTAACCAAACCCATTTTACTGATCACAAATATCAATCACATTTTATAAATATGGTAGGTTTGAAAAGAGAAACCGGTATAGCAACATTGCACGATTTATGTCCTGGACGATTTTGCTGCATCTCAACTGGTGCCTGCTATAGATAAATATTGTAAGTTCGCAATATGTCACGATCAGCTGACCTAAAATACAAGATTTGGTGAAGAAGATTCCACTTCCTTGGAGGGTTCAATCACACTTACACGTGAATGATGTAGGTCGAAAACAGTGGTGGTGGTGGGGGTGGCTCAGTGGTTTAGTCGCGTGCTTTGAACTCTATGGTCCGAGGTTCGGGCCCCGCCACCCAATTTGGTAGTAGATAGCTTTGCTGTCATCCGGTTCAATACCACACCTAACTTATCGGGTCGTTATGTGATTCACCACTCCCAGTCCCGGGGCTTAGGTTACCGGTTTCCATCGCTGAATGGTAGGTCCTCGTGACTATGGGGTTCACTCCGTCTGCTGTTCATCACACGAAAGTATTAAATAAAATAATAAAAAGTACACGAGCACAGTTCAGGGGACACATAATGTGTTCTTCAGTTTCCTGTCCAACTTTGTATTTTCATTGCTTAGTGAATAAGTGAAAACGACCTTATCTGTCTGTCTGTCTGTCTGTCTGTCTGTCTAAACTCCTCGAATTCATCTTCGTGAACAAGTGAGATGGTCTATGATCTCTTTGGAGCCAATAGTTTAATTGTTATAATCTTGATAAAAAGCAGCTTACGGTTGACTCGGTAGTCACAAGACCCTAAAATGCGTATTTTGGTTTCCGCTATCCTAATCCCTGTCTGGTCTGGTATCGATCTTGGCGACAAGTTTTTACGTGCCATTGAAATATGGAGTCTGTGACAGGGTTCGGGCTGTAGGGCGTAGCTGCATTGACAGTCCTCATGCCTCAATCATCAGTCATTGCTATAGATTTGGGTTTTAACAAATGTACGAGTTTTATTGCTTTAGTAGTGTGTTTAAGTTGGAAACGGGATAAGGAGTGAGAAGAAGGAGAAGGCCTCTGGCGTCTGGTTCGCTTTTTACCATCATTTGCATCGCACAATCGATTCGATTCGATTGCGCCAAAGTGAGGATTAGACTGCGTTCCTTTTCATTCACTCCACTCTTGCACTGTTTGATGGAATCAGTCTATGTATTCCGAGTGTGGTAACCCTAACGGCGGCAGCCACGGTAGAAACAATAACAACAACAACAACAGACACCGCCATCAGCCGGGTCATTCGAACAATCTGGTCCATAACCATTCCCTCCACAAGTCTAATTGCCGGTCGGTCCGGAGTCCAAAACGAATTGTCTTTGCCTGTACCTATTCATACAACGGTGCCCACTTTCCTTCCCTGTTCGTTCCATTCTCGACATTAGATAATGATTATGATGACAATGACGATGATACATGTGGGTACAGTAGTAGTCAGGCTTTACTCGATCAGTTCGTTGTTTCTCCCTTCATCCGTTCATATGGTTTGTGCATGTGTCTGTGTCTGTGGGCTCGTAAGATAGTTGTGGTAGTCACAGGCACATCCATGTCCTCCTATTGATCGGGTCGCAACTGTCGGTTGAACACGTGCAAACGGTTGGACAAACAACTGGGGGACTGTCTAACTGTCGATCCGTTTTTGGCGCGAACAAACAATCGGATCGGCCCAGTTACCAGTGGTCGCCAGGCTGTTAGGATATACTGGCAGGTGAGGGGGGGAGGTAGAAAAGAGCAGAAAACAGAGGAACTCAAGCGGACCGTGAACGTGGTCGGCTACGGAGAGTATCATTTGTTGGCGTAATCCTTTTTTTCGACTAAGGAACGGCGCAGAAACTTGTTCGGAAGACCACTCTCCGTGTAATCAATACAAGGCATTACGTATCCGTGCAAAATGATATGTTTCGTGTGTTGTTTGGTTTTCAGGGAACATTCTCACCGATCGTAGACAACTATGTTGCTTTGTATGCTTGCATACCGATCGCAGAGACATAATGACGTTCCATGAGAGTGATAGAGGATTCGACTCAATTTCAATTCATCGCGTATTGAGCTGATGAAGTGTGAACTGCCTTGACCTGGTTGGGTCTTCTCATCAGCAGTGTGAGAATCCATCGACCCAACTGGGGATCAAACCTGGACCATACAGGCAGAACGCAAGCCTGCTACCCATTCGGCCACCGGCCGGTTGATTAGACCGTTTTCCACGATACAGTACACCTCATCTTTGCGAGGTCGTTGCAGGCCACGGACCTCGCCCATCTCAGCACTAGTCTCTGGTCTGATCAGGTGCCCAATGGCCGAATGAGTAGTGTTTGCGTTCTGTCTGTGAGGTCCCGGGCTCACGATCCTCCGGTGGGTCGATGGATTCGCGCACTGCACGGATGAGAGCCCACTAAGTCAAAACAGCTGTCCAGTGCTTCCTAACTTTACAGTACACACTCCTCCGTTTGCGCAGTTCACGACGAATTTCGTTCTTTGCTAATAAGGTGCACCCAGAATTCCCAACCTGAACTTCACAAAGTTGCACATAAGAGCTCTGCGCAAATCGAGCAGAGAGAGTGTGTGTATGTCACCTGACAGTTAGGTTTACCTCATCTGTGTGTCCATTACCTATTCAGTTAGGTTTCTCCTCGTTATTCAAGACCCAGGATTCGGATAACTGACCAAACACATCGGAGAATTTGATGATGTATATTAGTCCTTGATTTATCATTGTTTTTTCCTCTCCATCTCACAATTGGCCTACTCACTCACGCACGCACTCACTTACTTGTTCCCTCTCGTCCCGTTTTCTCCCTCTCTCTCAGGCATCCCTGTGAATCAGCAGCATTTGATTTTTGATGGAGTAGAACTACAAAACACAACCGTATTGGCTACCGTGAAGATTAGTCACGGAGCCCTTCTACGCCTTGTACTCGGTGTACAATCTGGTCCGTTAAATCGTGAAACAACACCGCACACCATGGGTAGTGCACAACCGTGCCATCATCATCGATCATTGCTATCTACACGTCACACTATCTGTCCGCTCACTGTGCCCGTGGCCCAGGTGCATCGAATTCCCACTCCAGCTATGGTCCTCCCGGTTCTGTGCACACCCAATCGGGTCCCCTCCGGTCATCCGCAGTACAAACATCCATATCATCCGCAAATTCAATATCTGACCACGGGTCAAATGTCTACTACCTATCCAAGCAATTATTTACCCGTTTACCCGACCAAAACGGATTGGGATGAACCGGTATCATACTCGACCACCGAGTTCGTCATGGATGATGAGACAATGGGGTCTAGTGATGATGCAACTAGTGAACTGGCTGAGTATCTGGGCTACGCAATCGATGAAGACGAGCTGAGTTACGAACACGAGGAAAGGAGTACCGTTACGAATGGAATTCCAATTCCGAGATCAATACTCGAGAATCGATACGAATGTACTGATCCGGAAGACGACGAGGACCGTTTGAGTCCAGATATGACCTCCTACTCCTCACCATCTGTATCATCATCTTTGTCATCGTCCCCTTCCGAATGCGGATTTGTCCCGGTCTATCCTATTGCATCGCAGGTCCAGTGGATTGTCAGTTCCACCGATGTAAGTTGTGATTCTCCTCGCAGTTTGGGCGACCAACTGATGCATATCCCGATACCGTAAACGAATTTGACGGACGTAGCTCG